TTTGTAGGTTTTAATATTTTATTTTATATTATAATACTTTAACATTTTATTTATTAGAATTGAAAAAAATAATCCTTATTTTATAATATTTCATTAGTTTTGTTAATTGATTATTAATTCTGTTAGTTAAGAATAAGTTTTTATCAATTAATAATTAATTAATAAAATTAACAGTTAACTGACAAAATTATTTTAATATTATAAATGAGAGTTATTTTTTTAAAATTTTAATAGATAAAAAATTAAAAATACCATAATATAAAATAAAAAATTAAAACTTACTAATCTAATAAGATTAAAAAGCCTAAAAATAAGATAGAGAATTACTAAAGGAACCATTTCTAGGACCTTCTCTCTCTAGGGTTTCCCACTTCATCTTCCTAAGGTGCTGCCTTTAGGTATTTCCTCTCTTATTTCACCATAGTTTTGATCATTTAGTCGGTATTTCAAGGAGCTTTGCAATATGAGTTTGATTTTCCCTGGTATCACCTAGAGGTAGTATTCTGTTGGGGAATTATTACTCTACCTACCACTTAAGAATACACTATCTCAAAAGCACCATAGTATTCAATTTGTTGGCTCTACCAATGAGATGGCTAATAGATCGTCAATCACAAGTGAGGGACAACGAGGGTGGAAAGATACCCCTATTTTACGCCTAGCAAATAAAGAAACAGATGAGGGTGAGCTGCACCGATTCTCATTTGTTGGGCATCTAATAGCAAATGGAGATGACATTCGAAGTGGGGTTGTATATAGCATTTTAAAAAGTGCTTGGAGACCAAAGGGAGGGTTGGAAGTGCATGAACAATCCAAGAATACTTATATTTTCATCCTCTTTGATGAAAATGAAAAGGATTGAATTTTCCGAGTCTCCATGGTTTGTAAAAGGTTCTCATATTGTCCTTAAAGATTGGCCGTCCTATCAACGGTTTGATGAAATTGTATTTTCACATTCAGCTTTTCGGGTGCAAGTTCATGGCTTGCCAAAAGGATGTATGACCCAAGAAAGTGTTCAATTAATTGGGTCACTTTTTCCCCAACTCATCTCATGGGATCAATCTACACTAGAGGGTTTGGAAAGTTTCTTACGAGTACGGGTTGCAATTGATGTCCATATTCCCCTCCTTACAAGATTTCAGTTTCAACAACAAGGAGAGGAGGTGTGGATTGCAGAGTTTAAATATGAGAAACTTGGTGATTTTGTTACCAGTGTGGTATGCTAGGCCATACTCAAAAGTCTTGTGATGATTTTCACTGGAAGGATGATGATGGAAATTACATTTCACAATCCAGACCACACTATGGGCCACAAATGAGGGTACCGACTTACTCACCCAAGCGACACTTCGGTTCAATAAAGGAAGGAAGGAAAATTTCTAAAACTCATATTGAAAATCCATAACAAGTTGTTGTCACCAAGTTGGAATCCCAGCTAGCGCTACTGCCCATAACACCAACTAAACAGTCTTTGACGATGATTGAGAAGGAGAGTTCCGAGAAGGGAAGTGAAGAACAAAGCGAAGAGAGGCGCGTGAACCAACCCCTTCATCTGGAGACGCCCCCAATATTAAATGAACCTGAGTCATAGCCCCCTTTTAATATGATTACAATCCCTAACATAGACCCTTCATCATCTTCTCCTATCGCAGTGAGACAAAAACCTGCATCATTAAATGAGATGGTGACTGATTCACAATTCCATAATCCTGATCAATTTCTAGATCTTTCATGGAGTAAGGATAACAACACAGAAATGGACCTATCCTTATCTCAAAAAATGGAAGCTCAATTATCTTTGGGCCAATGCTCTCATAATGGAAGGAAACGTAGAAGTGAAGTTGGGCTCAACGGAGACACAATTAAACGAGCCTGCTTGAGACATAATGAATCAATTGGGCCACGATGCACCTTAACCCAATTGTAGGAAGCACTAGCGAGGGGACATCTTGATTTTTACATACAAGATCAAACTGGTTTTTTCATAGATATAGAAGAATCCATCTCAGTTCAAAAAGTCAAGCAAAGAATCCGACTAAAGGCACTAGCTCACCAAGTGAGATTTCAGCCGGATCCTCTTTTCTCCCTACTTCAATCTTTTCATCCAACACAGAGACTATACACTGACCCCCCTTTTATCCCCTTGATCAATACGGTGAATAATGCTCCAGGTACTGCTCTTACTCACATCCTCAACTCTCTATCAAAATCGACTAAGCAACTATCTTTTGAAGAAGAAGCAAATAGGGCGTCGGTGGTTGGCCCTTGGCAGCCATCATCTCCGACATGAATCTCCTCTCTTGGAACTGTTAGGGCCTTGGGCAAGCCTTGACAAGATGGGCACTTAATGCTTTAATCTTTAAATACAGCCCTTGCTTCACTACAAACAAAATGACTTATATTAACGGAACTCTATACCAATGGATGGAAGTCCGTCTGTATAAACCCATATATACCAACAGAAAACTTAAGCAGTCATTATACATCAATCTATACCAACAGAAAAATATATCCGTATGTATAGGGTTGGTTTATACAAACGGTTTATATTTATCCGTTTGTATAGAGTATATCTATTCCGACGATAATCATTATTCGTTTGTATAAATGTATATGTACAGATGGATTACTGTTCCGTCTGTATATTTCCCTATTTCTTAAACACTTTATTTTCCTTTGCCGCTGGCTTCATTTTTACTTCCCTCCATGGATTTCCCATTTTCCCTCTTTAATTTCCGAGCTTCCTTCCCCAAATCTCCAAAACTCATTCGAACCCATTCAAAGTCAGAAACCCAAATTTTAATTAGACGTTTGGCCGTTCGAAAGGCCACCATAAGAAGACTCAAAGCTCTTGTTTGATCCCGCTCCCTATACTTTCCTTTACCCACAGAAAAAAGCCATGGTTGGAGGTCAATTTTGGCTTGTGCGACCCGACGATGGAGGTCAAAGAAGGCAAATTGGAGGGTTGTGAGGGTAGGATCAGACATAGGTTTAGGGCATC